AGTTTCCTTCCCTTCCTTTTCTCATTTTTTTTTTTTTTTTCTTTTTACTTCTCTTATCAATTTCATATTTGTGGATATATTTCCATTCCATTTTTGTAAATGTTTGCTAACATCTTATTGAATGTTAAGAATGTTAAGTTTGTTTATTTCCTCAATTTTTTTTTCTTTTGCATTGATAACAATCCCATCCATTTTGATTATTTCATTTCTATTATCAATTCTTATTATTATTGTTATTATTCGTAGTGAATTTATTGTTTTCTTTTGCACTGACAACAAATTCATCCATTTCAATTATTCCATTTCTATTATCAATTCCTATTATTATTCGTATTGAATTTATTGCTTTTTCTTGCATTGACAACAAATCTATCCATTCCAATTATTTCATTTCTATTGTAAATTCCTATTATTATTCCTATTGAATTTACTGTTTTTTTTTGTACTGATAACAAATTCATCCATTTCAATTATTTCATTTCCACTACCAATTCCTATTATTATTCTTGTTGAATTTGTTGTTTTTTTTTACCCTCACAAAAAATCCATCTTCGATTATTTCGATTATTTCTTCTCCACTATCAATTCCTATTATTGTTCTTGTTGAACATATTGTTTTTTTTTTCACTGATAACAAACTCATCCATTTCAATTATTTCATTTCTATTGTCAATTCCTATTATTATTCCTATTGGATTTACTGTTTTTTTTTCACTGATAACAAATTCATCCATTTTAATTATTTCATTTCTATTTTCATTCTCACTTTTATACCAAACAAAAATTTCTAAAGTTTGATGAATTTCTTTCTTCTTTTTTTTTTTTTTTTTTCCCATCAAGCACTATCAATCATTTTTGCTTCCATGTTAGCTTGCATTACATTTGAGCATTTCATTATCTGTAATATGCTCATGGTATGTTCACCTTCGTTCACTTCATCCTTGTCAACAATATCATTTTATTGACATAAAAATTTCCTTCCCTAACTTCCTTTCTACTCTTCTTTTTTTTTTTTTTATCAATTTTTACTTGAAAAATTTTTTCTATTTTTTATTTATTTATTTTTTTTTTTTTGAAAGATTTTCAGATATTATCCAAAAGATTTCGATTTGATTTATTTGCTTTTGGAATTCCTTCGAAATGCATTAAAATGAAAGTTATTTTTTTTTTTTACGTCACATTTGAATTGAAAGTAAAATGAAACGTTTTATCATTTTTATAAATTTATTTTTTTTTTTCACGTGTATAAACATGAAACGATCAAAAAGGTATGATATTTGTTTTTAGTAATCTTTGTACTTTGTAATAAATTTCTTCTAACAAATAAAGAATAGAATTATTAACAATTGTTTGTAATTGTGATTATAATTATAATAATTACAGTGATAATATTTTTTATGATAATGATTACGATAATGATGATAATAATAAGGATAAAAGCGATGATGGTGACAATGATGCTAATGAAAGAATAGAATTATTTGTCAACCAATGGTTACAAAATTATTATTTTCACTACTGTTCATTATCATTATTATCTATCAATGACGAAACATTACACTATTCCTTACATTCTCATATATCATTATCATAAATGAAGATTAGCCATAAACAATGCTTTCTTGTTATCATCATCATCATCAACATCATCATCACATCATCATGATCATCGCTATCACTGAAAATATTATTAACTGTAAATCATTATCATCATAATCATAATCATAACCATTAAAAGCGTTATTGCTACAATCATTGTCTTCATAATCGTAGTCATTATCATTGAAAGCGTTATTGCCATATTCATTATCATCATAATCATAATTGCCATTATTGAAAATACTATTGCTATAATCAATTATCATTATAACCATAATCATAATCATAATCATTTCCTCATAACAAGTATCCTATTTTCTTGGACCAAAATTTGATAAAAACTATCCATTCAAATTATATGATTCATTTAACATTTTCAATTTATATGTTTGAAAATAAAATGTTTTCACGAATTTCAAAAATATTTCAATATTTTACGAATTTCAAAAATCTCTCAATATTTCAAAAAAATTTCAATCATCAAAAGTATTCGTTTCATGTATGTGAGATTTGCAAATCATTTGAAAGTTAGACAGTATTTCTTGTAGTACAATGATAACTTTACTGATAAATTCTGTTGAAATTTGGAAGTAAATTAAACGGGGAAATGTAGTTTTCAATGATAACTTTAGTGATAAATTCTGTTGAAATTTGGGAGTAAGTTGAAATGGAGATATGTGACCTTAAATGATAATTTTACTGATAAATTCTGTTGAAATTTGGGAGTAAGTTGAAATGGGGATATGTGATTTTAAATGATAACTTTATTGATAAATTCAGTTGAAATGATGAAATGTAATTTCCTTGAAAATATAATATATCGGATCATATAAATGTAATACTATTGACCCCATTATGACCTTTTTGTTGCTTATTTGCCATAATAACAAACGGTAATCTTATTTTATGATATAAGCATTGAATAAATTATTTAATTATTGATATTGATAAAAATTAATTCATTCAATTATTTTCTATTTTTCTCCCTTTCTTTCTTCCTTTTTTTTTTTACTTTTTTTGGGTTTCGTTTTTTTTTTCTTTTCTTCATTTTCCGTCTTTCTGGTGGAATATTGATGAAATGAGAAAACGGGAGAAAAAAAAAGATTCATTTACATGAATGAATTATCGATTATACGGTATAAGATATTTGATTTGATTCAAAATAGCAAATAATTTCATGAGTAAAATTTCAAACTTTTTCAAAAAAAAAACAATCATATCTACTTTTCACATTTCTTAATTTCAAACACTAATCTCATTACATCATCTTTTACATTCTTTACTAATAATTCGAATTTATTTTCCCACATATTATATTCTTTACTAATAATTCGAATTTATTTTACCACATATTATATCCTTTACTAATAATTCGAATTTACTTTTCCACATATTATATTCTTTACTAATAATTCGAATTTACTTTTCCACATATTATATTCTTTACTAATAATTCGAATTTACTTTTCCACATATATTCTTTACTAATAATTCGAATTTACTTTTCCACATATATTCTTTACTAATAATTC